AACCCCAGAACCCCAGAACCCCAGAACCCCAGAACCCCAGAACCCCAGACCCCCAGAACCCCAGAACCCCAGACCCCCAGAACCCTAGAACCCCAGAACCCCAGACCCCAGAACCCCAGAACCCCAGAACCCAAATCTAATTTCTGTAGAAATATCAACATCAGTTCAGGGTAGAAGTCGTCTCCTCAGAGTTTACACCTCCACACACTGCACTGATGCATTGTGGGTTGTTTGGTTGTAGGCTGTGCAGAGTGTTGCCTTCACGGTCCGTTTCACTGTTGGAATTTAACTGGTCACTTGTGATTGGCTCAGTGTCCGTCTGCATTTCCTGAAAATGAAAACTAAATTGCCCAGAGGTTGAAGGCAGTACTGCAGCAGGACCAGAGTCAATGAAAGCAGGTCCAGGTAAATCCAGGTCTGAGTCTGGTTCTGTGATGGTCTTTTTGTCCTGTTCGGGTCAGTTCCCTGGTGGTGCAGTACCGCGGTGTCGTTCTCCCCAGAACCATGAGCTTGTGTTGTCAGAAATGTCAAGTTTCTTCTTGATGTGGCTCCACTGCTGCGGCGTCAGTTACAAACCCCGACACAGACCTGCTTCAGGTCCAGGGGCAGTGGTTTACCTACCTGCCTGCCCTGCAGTAGGTCTGAGGTTCAAATCCACCAACCCTGGAGAACCACAGGGAGAGTAGCTGAGCTCCAACTGCCCCTGAACTCTTCAGTCTTCTGCCCCATCAGTGTGATGATCAGGGAGATCAGACAGAAACGTCCAGTTGAAACTCTGTGCTGCAGCTGCATGAGAAACAATGTGTGTACGTGTGTGTGTGTACGTGTGTGTGTGTTTGTGTCGTTCCGTCACACCCAGGTTCTCACCTCCCCCCTCTGCTCTCTCCTCCCCCTTCCTCCTCCTCCTCCAGGACAAGACCAGCGCTCTGAGCCTCAGTAACGTGGCGGGGGTCTTCTACATCCTCATCGGGGGTCTGGGTCTGGCCATGCTGGTGGCGCTGGTGGAGTTCTGCTACAAGTCCAGGACAGAGTCGCGTCGAATGAAGGTGTCCACCGCACGAGCCGCTGCCGCCTCAGCCGCTCAGGCCTTTCACTGCTCAGCCTTAGACAGTGGTGCTAGCGCCCCCTACACTGAGTTGCAGAGCTACGGCCTGTACGCCAACAACACTGTTAAGATATAAGAGCAGAGCCACACAGCCACTGGGTAGGAAACACTGTGATCCAGACACAATGATGATGATGATGATGATGATGATGATGATGATGATGATGATGATGATGATGACGTCCGCCTCTTCACATCGCCGCCCATCTAACCCGTGATCACAGTAGGGCCTCTCAAGGCTTCCACCGCAGTGCAAACGCTCTCCTGTACCTCTCTTTACCCCCACGCCCCCCCTCTTTACCCCCCCCCACACACACACACACACACAGTCTGTCACTGATCTCCTGAACCACTTGATTTTAGAACTGCCTTCTTAAACAAACATCAACACCGTTGCCGTGGTTACAGTGATCTAGCAGCAGTCTGCAGCTCAGGTGTGAAGGCAGTTTGAATCACAGTGGTTCGTTTTCCTCCTGTCGCTGATCAACCCTCTCTGCTGCTCCTCCTACTCCTCCTCTTCCTCCTCCTCCTCCTCTTCCTCTTCCTCCTCCTCCTCCTCTTCCTCCTCCTCTTCCTCCTCCTCTTCCTCCTCTTCCTCCTCCTCCTCCTCCTCTTGCTGACTGTCTTGTAAATGCAGGGCCCATCGTGGGGAACATCTTTTCTCTGTACATCATCAGGCAGGCCTGTGGCTCCCACACACCCACACACACACACACACACACAGTCTGTCACTGATCTCCTGAACCACTTGATTTTAGAACTGCCTTCTTAAACAAACATCAACACCGTTGCCGTGGTTACAGCGATCTAGCAGCAGTCTGCAGCTCAGGTGTGAAGGCAGTTTGAATCACAGTGGTTTGTTTTCCTCCTGTCGCTGATCAACCCTCTCTGCTGCTCCTCCTACTCCTCCTCTTCCTCCTCCTCTTCCTCCTCCTCTTCCTCCTCCTCCTCCTCCTCTTGCTGACTGTCTTGTAAATGCAGGGCCCATCGTGGTGAACATCTTTTCTCTGTACATCATCAGGCAGGCCTGTGGCTCTCACACACACACACACACACACAGTCTGTCACTGATCTCCTGAACCACTTGATTTTAGAACTGCCTTCTTAAACAAACATCAACACCGTTGCCGTGGTTACAGCGATCTAGCAGCAGTCTGCAGCTCAGGTGTGAAGGCAGTTTGAATCACAGTGGTTTGTTTTCCTCCTGTCGCTGATCATCCCTCTCTGCTGCTCCTCCTCCTCCTCCTCCTCTTGCTGACTGTCTTGTAAATGCAGGGCCCATCGTGGTGAACATCTTTTCTCTGTACATCATCAGGCAGGCCTGTGGCTCACACACACACACACACACACACACACACACACTCTTCACTGCTTTAACCCCGACCGCTCTTTTATTCATATTTGACGACAGGAAGTGGCTCCGCCCACAGCTGCTCTGATTGGCTAACAGCGTGGATCAAACACAGATAAACACGAGTCCGTTCATCAAAGCTGGGTCAGATCCAGGAGTGTGTTCTAATCAGGAGGGACGGGGGGGCAGGAGGGGGGTGTGCACTGAGCCCACCAGTCCAGGGACATCTTTATGATCTTTGGCTTCAAAGAGAAACATCTCCGCTCCAATTAGAGGGCGCTATAATTTTTGGATCCCAGTGCAGCTCCTACAGGTGGCTCCAGATTGTCCTCACTTTGGCCAATTTAATCAGCCAATGAAAGGAGGGGGGTGAGGGGGGGGGCAGGCTAACCTGGAGGTTCAGCTCTGCTGCTGCTGCTGCTGCTGCTGCTGCTGCAGGTTAGACCTTGATGCTCCTCCACCTGCTCCACCTGTGAATATCAGTGACGTCCAGACACAGAGAGGGAAAAGTAGAAGAACGTCTGCTGACAGATTTACTCCTGACGTGACACCACAGTCAGACTCTAACATCTACCCACAATCCTTCACTCCTGTATATCTACAGATATCTTTTACT